CAGATTCTTCGCGTAGGGAGGAGCTTGTAATAAGCTCAAGCCCTGAGTTCTACGAATTTGAGAAAGTTCTCGTTGGGCGGTAGAACGACGTACTTCAATAGGATGATCGGAATTTGGGTCAGCGTTTGTACATAAAAATCTTCCCTTTAAAACTGACGGGCGATGTCCTTGAAACGGTCCTCAATAGTTCCGCATGATATCCTACCGCTACTGTACATGTCAACCTTTATCTGCACGGCTTCTATGCCCGCTTAGGTGGTCGTTTAGAATTTATTGGTTTCGTTATTTACTTACGTCTTACATAAGCCACCGTTTTCTCGCACGCACAACATACATCGTCTCATTACTGCTTCACAGGATTTTCTGATCATTTCTGGGGTAATTCTGTTAACAGGTTCTATAACAGCGTGTCTCAGCTCCTCTTCGGTTTCGTATGACCTACAGTATACCACATTTTTGAGAAAACCCGATGCAAAAAAATCAAGTGGTGTTATGTCAGGGAATCTCGCAGGCCATCTTACTGGTCCCAGGTGGCCTATCCACTTGTTGGGAAATTCGTGATTTAAAAATTCTGTGATAATACGTCCATTGTGTGGCATTCATTTCGACGACAGAGAATAAAACTCTCCAACATATCATATCTATTATCATAGGTAATTAAAACAAACAACGAACATCACTATGGGGAAATTGAAGAGAAATATCAATGCCTACTACCATAAAATCTTAATTTTGTTAATTTTAATTATTTATCTTGACCGAACATAAACACGTTATACATGGTTGAAGAGCATATTCAAAGGGGAATTTAAAAATGCAGAAATTCAATATGACGCCCATAAGAAAAACAAAAGTTGACTTCGGCCTTATTGAACATAGTGGGCCTAGATTATTTTTTACTTTATTTTCAAATTCACGCTTATTTCTTACCCCCACCCTGAAAATTTCGTTATTATATCTTTTATAATATACACGGATATAAAATAAAAAGGATTTTATAAAACGCACTTTTTTCTTTCTTTCCCTGTATATCCGTTGCTATTCCGAGTTCAAAGAAGTTGATGACAGATTATTTATAGGCACTTGATTGCGCAACTTTTTCCCCATTTGGTCCAGTCTACATAATTTTATACTGGACACACTGTATATCTATTTCTGCGTGTTTGTGTTATGAGCTTGCTCTGCGAAAACGAATGTGTGCCATGTTCACAAAACATTGAGAAACGTTTGCTCATAAACTATGCAATTTTTTCAACAAAGGAACTATTTCTACGTTACACCAAACTTTAACAGCTTCAATTTAACTCTGCTTAAGAGAACGAGAATTATTTAGAAGTTACATATATCTATGCAGCCAGATTCATGTCTCCTCTAATAAAATGTAACCTAAACAAACTTATAACTTCCATTCCCTTCGAAAGCGACAACTAAAACTTCACACAAACTTTACCATGTCATTTATTAATTGAAGTGTGCTGCAAAGTTAAACCTCGACTCATTATTTCCTTAATTGTAACCAACTGTCGGTAAAGTTAGTCGCGATTACTCAAACTGGAATAGAATAATCAAGTGACAGCACCGCCAACTTGTAGCATCGGAACATATCATTGCTGCAAAGCTAATTTAATATTCATCCTCTATAATAATTCATTAGCAGAACTTACTTTACAAACTCAACCTTCTAGAAGAAAAGCCCATCGTAATGAACGTCAAGGTATAAATTGTATGTTTAGGATTTGCTATTTAATTGGGGCTGCCCAACTAATTTGAAAGGTGTTTGCTGCGACGAGGCAGGGAAGGAGATTACAAAGCATAAAAGAACATTTTGTGAAAAGTAGAAAATTGCTTTATTCAGCACAACATATTTAAGATATTCATTGGGAGCTCATACGGGGGATGGCTTTTGAAATGAGTTTTATTGATTCTGCTCAGAAAGAAAAACGACTATTGTTAAAAAAAAGTTACGTCTAATTTGGATTACTGTTGGGATAGTGTATTTTCTTGTTTAAGGTCATGTTTATGTTTCACAATTGTTCCGTTTTTCAACAAATGGGGAGGCCAGTAACAACAATTTTTGAGCCACTTTTGTAATTCTACATGGTAATAATAGCTGATCAATGTATTGTGTGTTGGATTGTGGTTACCAAAAATTACTTCGTACACTCCAGAATTGAAAACTGATTATCCCTCCTGGTGTTGAAATAACTCAATCGATCATAATCCGCCTAACAGTGTCAAAGGTAATTTTACTCGCACAAAATATCATTATTTGTTCCGAAAATTTGCAGAAAAAAGAGTTTGCGTTGAAATCACATAAGCAACTCCTACAGCGACTAAAATCTCGACCAATACCACGGCTTTAATTATAGCAAATGGTCAACAGACCAGTGCGATTTACTTACTGACTTATCTTTTTCACATCACCATCAAATAATGTCTATTCTAGTTCGCTTATCGCTATTTGTAAAAATACATTTGTCAAAATTTTTGATGAACTCGGTAATGTTAGACTATTTGAATTAATGATAGTGTATAACAAATTTTGCTAATGCAATTTCTAAGCCTGCTCGCTTTACCTAAATTGTCCAAGAATGGAAAATCGACTAAGCAAAATGCAAAGTTAATTATTGGACGACATAAGAAACATAAAAAGCGTTACAGCAGCAGATTAGTTACTGATTAATGAGCAGTCTGAGATAGATTGATTCGACATACTAAAAATAAGTATACAGGGTAGGGTGTCCCTGAACTGAATGGCGCAACCATAAATTCCTTGACGGAAAGTAAGACGATGTAAGCAAACTTACCTATATCTAATGTTGATTCCGTTTGCCGCTACGTGGCGCCAAAGTTCTTCAATTAATCTTCGATTAATCTTAATCGATTTTCACTTAATTAACTTAAACAAATTATTCCGTACATTTGACAAACCGACAGTGTTTACTGTTTTTGGTGTTTAGCGAAGTTGGATAACAGATTGGCCAGTAAGATCATCCAAGCTAACACCGCTAGATTTGATTGTCTGTGTGGTAAAACTCTTAAATCTTACTAGAAAGAAATTTCCAAGCTGCAGATTATTTTTAAAACAAGACCTACACCATGCCCAAAGTACAGTTTAATTCTTGGAAAAGAAGTAATTTAGCTGATAGGGAATTGGTCAACATTTTGGAAATTTACTAAAATAAATATATTAGTTCAATTATTCAGAATTAACACTTTTCCATGTTTTTTTCGTTCTGAATTAAAAATCTCAATTGCTAGATATCATAAATAAATCTTTGTACAGAAACTGTAGGTTTTGCGAAAAATTTACAAGAGGTAAAAAAGTTTAAAAGAAGATCAGCTAGTAGCAGAAAAAAATATATTTGTAAACAGGGTAACAAAAATACAAACATTCATTAACGAACAAAGCATTATTTTTAATATTTTAACGCATTAAAAAACATCACGCTTGCGTCAAAACAAGCCAATTTATGTAGTAATTGCTGATTCCAAAATTAGTCAAAATCGATATGGGCGATTAGAAATTATATGAATTATTTGAGAAAAAACGATTTTGATCTGAGAACTTTGACAAATTGTAGCGACAAAATGAAGCAACATTGTACAGTCATTTCAGGGACACCCTGTATAAGTAAAAAATATAAATTTTGAGCATTTCTGGTTATTGAACAAAATAACAAAAAGTTGATTGAACTGAAACGTTAATATGACGATCTACATTAGGCACAAATCGCCGGTTGTCCAATGTCCTGACTCACAAAAGAAAAGCATTTTCTCTTGTGAATAATTGACCTTTAATTATAAAACGTGCGTATTTTATATCGTGCTGCTCCAGTTATGCAAAGTTTAAAAAAATATATTAGAAATACACTTACCTTTTTTGGACCGCTTCTTCTTCTGCCTCCTCTTGCCTTTACTCTGCACAATGACCGATCCCTCGTTGCCAACAAAACTCTCAAGCATTTTCAGAAAAATGTGCTGCGTTTCAATCAGATCTTTCAGATACGTATCAGACATCTTCAGCTCATCATAATTTACCAATAAGGTTAAAATGAATTCTCGATATTCCAGAACGTAGAATATGTTGCTCTTAATGACTCGTGCAGAATCTCGCACATTGCCTATTAACAAATAAAAAACAATATATTAAACAGGAGTTTATGTTTCAGTTATTTTTATTTTTACATTTTGATTTTTAAAAATTTTCAAGATTTTTGTTAACTTTTTTTATTTGCACTACTCAATATAATATTTGCTTATTATTTGAATTTGAGAGATTCGCTTCAACCACGAACGTTCGCAATATGGAAATTTGTGTTAACGAACCTTAATTCCAGACTCCGGATCTTAGAATTCAGTACAAAACTTTGACGGACAGCTTTGGACCGTTTTTTACATACCATAAATTAAATATGTCATCATTTTGTAGCAAAAATAAAATTTTATGGCCAAACACATATTCAAAAGCATGCGTTATTAAAATATTGCCAAGAATAAACGAAATTAAAAAAATATAATAGGTCTTAAATAACTGAAAGTTCTGGAAGAATAAAGCCCTAACCAAAAAAAGCTTCCTAAAATAGATTTTATTGGAATAAATGAAAAATGTCTTTGCAAAAAAAAGTTTTGGTACAAAAGCACTGATCGTAAAGAAGCACTTTGTTTTAGCACACAAAATTTTGACGAAACCCTTAAAGACCCGGTTAACATTAAGTTTTGAGAATTAAATGGTAAAGTAAAATTTTGAAACCTTCAAATCTTCTGAACTGATTAAATTACGAATTGCTATATATTTTTTATTTTAAATACCAATAAACATATCTTCTTCACACCTCCAGAAATTACAAAAATGATTAGATTAGATTTATTTATTTGACCACAATATATATGAAATGTATGTGCAGCAAGTCATATTGTTTCGATGATTAGAATTTATTTTCCTTTCATTTCTTTTTATTAGAATAGTAATGTGCAAGCAGTACCTCCTCATAACAGAATTTTAAATGTTTCAATACAAACGCTTATGCATGTCAAACTGAAACTTACAAGACCTAGTTTCATCTGCATTTCGTTAAAAGTCACCTTCGAGCTATCATCCCAAGAGTCTCGTATACACTTTTTTAATTGCCTTTGAGTTCGACCTATTATTTTTGTTCCTTTACGCATCAAGCAGCACGTGTTTAGGCAATGTTAAGGGGCGATCAAAATCGTTTTTGTCGAATTTCAATACCATTTGAAATTTTCTTTGTTTCCTCATGCCTCCAGAGAAATGCCTCAATTGTTAATAATAACTGGTTTATTATACCAGCTCATTCCTGATCATTTCTGAGTAACCTCATTTATATCTGATTTTCCAAAGGAAGGTTCTTACCTAAGTTCGACATCGATTGGAACAAGAAAATCTTCAGAGAAAAAGATTGACCGACAGATTTTCAATGATCGACAAGATGAGTTGAAAGGCAGTGACCAAAACATCAAAGTAGCACATACCCTCACTTCTAGGCAGTTTAGCTACTGTAAGTTGCTTTAATATGTAGGTAGCTTATGAGGGTAATTACAAGATGCTCGTGTTCCCACCAAACAAAATAGCACATTGGTTGATTTTGATTATCATGGTATTTGAATTATTCGAATTATTCATCTAATAAATAATAAATAAATAAAATAATTTTGTTAATACTCGAATACGAGGTAACACGTAACTTTAATAACTAAAAGTTATATTAAATAAACCAACATAAATTAAAATAATTTAGTAATTAAAAAATTCAGCAATACGAACCATCAGGTGATTTGTCCATTGCCGCCAAAGTCATGAATAGCTCTCGATAAGCCAATAGCGCCAGATGGAGTCGACGTGACCAAAGGATTAATTTCTTCCCATCAGTAGACATAAGGTCGTAGAATGTTTCACTTTGTCGTTGTACATAGTGGAACGTTTGCACGGCCACAGTTTCACTGGAACCAATTTAAAATGAAGGTGTAATAATAGTTTACGCATAAATCAGCAAGAATCTATATCATATTATTGAGAAAAAGTCGTTTGTAGGTGCAAATTAAAAGCAGTGTTACCAAAAATATAACTTATTTGTTAGTTGTTTGAAACATTTTGAATTAAATTGTAATTAATTCTCTTCTCCTTACATATCCAGAGACAACACCAGACGAATTATTCCAATTTTTAATATCCCATACGAGAGCTTACTGAAGTTAAATGAACTACCCGGTATATTCTATTAACATTTTTGAAAACAAGTCAAAATATCGTAAAGCAAACACAAATATACTTCAACTCAGGAGGTTTTCCACCAATAACATTTTCCGACTTAATGCTACACATTCAAGTAAAATTTACCTTCAATAAAAATGTATTTAATGTCTAACTAAACTGCATCCGATTTGGATAAAAAATATATACAGGGTGTCCAGAAATACGCATGATGAAACGAGCACTGAGACATTGCTTGGCTCAACTGAACACCATATGAGCCAACTTCTATTAATAAAAAATGTCCGGCTCCTGTGCTATGGATTGTCAAATTTCTTCAAATAAATTATAATTTTTGAAATATCCGGAAAATGGTCTGATGAATTTTAATGAAACTCGCTGTGAACTTGTATCTTCGCAAGATTCGTGTTTTGATGAAACAACCGAGTTCATCCGCTTTGGGCAAGTGAGGAAGTGTTGGTACAACACGCTCTTGGTAAAATTCCGGCTCTTGGTAAAATTTTGTAACATTCATAGCTGTTGCTCAAGAAATGATTTATGTTCCCGTTGCTATTTAAAAAGTTTTAATTTAATTCAGACATTAAATGCAAACGTTGTTGTAAATAATAATGTTCTTTTATATATAAATTAATTGTCAAGGGTTTCCTAATTTTGAACTGGCTGATATGAAGTCTTACGCCCGGTCATCTTTTGGAAGCGTTTTCCCACCAAATAAAAGACGCGATTTTTCAGCAAAATATGACAAAGAAACCAATCCGCAGCCAGTTTCAATAATATCCATTTGAGCGCGTTCTCGATATTATAAAAAAAATGTATTCAAGTTTTATTAGTGTCAAAAGTTAATCAAAGTTTAAAATTGTCAGTTGGCAAAAGAATAGTAGTATTTTTTTAACCCAAAAATATATGAATGCCAAACGATTTTACAAAGAGTACAAAAATAACAAAAAAGGATTGGTGCATTAACTCAAAAAACACGATTTGATTCCAGCTTCCAAAGAAAAAGTCCTAGTGGTGTTTGTATCACGACATTCAAGAATTTATCACTTGCCTAAACCGGACGAACTCGGTTGCTTCATCAGAACATGAGTCTTATATAGGAACAAATTCACAGCCAGTTTCATTAAAATATATAATACAATTATCCCGATATATTTCAAACAGGCATAATTCTCTCGAAGAAGTTTGGCCGTCAGTAGCAGAGAAGTTAGACATTTTTTTTAGTAAAAGTTAGCTGAGATCGAATTCCTTAGATCCAAAGAATATCGCACTACCCTTTTAAACATGTGCTTACGGGACACCCGGTATATACAGAGTGAGATGACCACTAGATGGCGTAATTTCAAACGGTATTTTAAAAAGTCGATTTTATACATGAATTGTCCCAATAAGTGAAACACCTAGTAATTTTAGTCAAAAGACCATCAAAAACGGTACTAGTTTCCTTAAGAACTTTTTTCCTAACTTGTCAAATAAAGGGCGGGGGGAGAGTCAAACCGTTTAATTCAAAAAAAACCTGTAACTCCGAAACGGCTCAACCGATTTCAAAGATTTTTTTTACTATCGATTGAAAGAGCAATAAAACCTCTACAATATGTGATATAAAAACAATCTTAATCATTTTTGAAAAATCAGCTGTTCGAAAAAATTTATTTGTTTTAATTTTTCACAAAAATATCAAATGCTACCTCAAGTTATTTTACACGCATTCGAAAGCACAGGAAAAAATGAACCAAACCGCAGAAACCGCACCTGAAAATAATTTCTAGAACCGATTTAATACTTGAAAATAATAACGGTTGCCTAATTCAAATAATTAAAGTAGAAATTGTCCCTTTAAGTGAAACATCTAGTAAGTTTGGAAATAGCGGGTAAAATAAAACAAACCACAAAAATCGCATTTTGAAACTACTTATTTCTGGAATTTCTTTAAATGCAATTTTTCAACGAAACAACTGTACTCATCTTAAAAACAAGAAAAAAAATTAATAAGTTTACCTAGGTATAACACTATGCTGTAGCAGTAAAATAAACATGAAGATAATACATTTTCAAAATGCTTTCCGTCATTCGTCACACACAGATCTATCATGCGGTTAATGCCAAATACAGTACATTCAATTTCGGCTTGTGGAATGCTGTGGATGGCATCTGTGATACGACCTAGCATATTTGCCCGAGTTGTGTAAACTATATCTTTTGATCTTCCCCAAACATAAAAATCCAACTCAGTTAGATCTGGAGATCTTGCTAGCCATGGGAATAGACTTCCTATCCAGCGGTTGGGAAAAGTTCTATCTAAATGGTCGCGTGCATTTCTTGAATAGTGAGCAGAATCAGCATCCATCTTGTGGAAACCTCATGGTTCTTCTCGTCTCCAGTGAGACATTTTCTAACAGTACATTAAGTTCATTTGTTAAAAAATGTAAATAATTATCTCCATTAAGACACTCGTTGAAACCAAAAGGACCTATTATTTTGCTTTCAACAATGCCACACCAGACATTCACTTTCCACCTATTTTGACGATCAACTTGTCTCAACCAGTGGGGATTCTCGGTTGACCAATAATGCGCATTACGTAAGTTCATTTATCCAGTATTGCAAAAAGTGGCTTCATCAGTCCACAAAATGCGCTATTAAAACTGATTATTTTCTGTGTACATTTGCTTTAACAAGTTAAAAAAAAAATAATCGTGCATCATAATCCATGTCGGAAAGTGCTTGATACAAAGAAACGTGATATGGATTAAACTTATTATCAGCTAAGATGCGATGAATGATGTATTTTGTTACTCCAAGGTGTAAAGAAATTTGTCTTGGACTTAACTGCGGATTGACTTGTGCATAAGCTAAAACATGAATAACGTTTTTCTCAGTCCTTGCCCTTTTTCGTCGTGAAGGACCACGTACGGCCTGGACACTACCAGTTTCACGAAACCGTTTTGTTAGCCGCTTAATTGTTAGTCTCTCAAAAAATCTTCTACCAGAGTATGTATTAGCATACTTACGTTCTGTCAAACATGCATTTTAAAAGTTTGTTTTCAGTTTTGTTTTCAAGTTTGTTATCAAACTTATCACTCTACAACACATACTTTCCAAGATACAGCCGTATCTCTATCCTTATTGCGACACCCTGTCCATGTTTCTGTTACTTCGAACTATACAGGATCGCTCAAAATAAAGTTATGACAGTCAAGTTTTTTTTAAAATGAAACAGCCTACTTTTTAATCCAGGTTCAGGTTCTACATTGAATTAGAAGTATTTTTTGTATGTAACATACTATGTGACATACATACACAACATACTATCATTCAATGGTAGTGGACATAACGACATTTGAATATGAGAACGCAACAAAAGTAAAATTTATTATTATTTTTTCAAATAAAATAAACGATATAATTTGAGAACAGAACAAAACAAAAAATAGAACATTTGCTTTAATATTCCTTGCAAATTATATCATTTATTATTATTATTACTATTAAGTAAAAAAAATAATCATAGAGTTTACTTTTGTTGCGATCCCATGTTTTATGCTATGCCCAAAACTATTGAATTCAGTCACATAGTAGGTTATACAAAAAATAATTAGGATTCAATGTAGAACCTGATTCTGGATTAAAACGTGGGTTATTCCATTTAAAAAAATTTACTTGACTGTCATAATTTTATTTTGAGGTAGCCTGTATACTTCAAAGTAACAGAAACAAATACTCTGGCAACAACCACAATACTTTCATATAAAGGTTTTTTTAGTCTTTACGATCTACGAAGGTGGTCTCGCATCGATGACTCACCCTGTATAATATAAAACGACACCTTTTTTTAAAATGAAAATGAAGTGTCTCAGTTCCAAAGTCTGCAGAATTTTAGGCGACACGCTAGCTATAGAGAAAAAGAGCCTGACCATCAAATATTCGCAGATATTTTCCATCACTGATCACAACTTGAAACAATAGTAGCAAATAATTCAAATCCAGCAAAATATCACTATTAGAGTTTCGTGTTCAATCAACTTCCATATTCTTTTATACGTAAAGACCTTCTTTACAGTCTGCTAATATTTTGCGATATAAATGGATTAAATTCCTTCATCTGAATTTCGATTCCCTTTTCGCGTATCACTCTTGGCTCCGTGATTCCGTGTCATGCATTTTTATTTCCTTTATAATTCTGTTCATACCTTGAACTGAAAGGCATAAACAGAAAAGAATGCAATATTTTACGCAGTCAAAGTCTATTCGGCATCAGCAAGCTAAGAAAAATATATAAAAACCGATGCTGAGTCAAAGTAAGTGCAAGCCGTCCCACACAAAATGAGACACTTTATTCCTGAATAATAGACTCGACTGATCTCGTCGGCCGATAAAATTACTTCTCAAATAAGAATAAAAAACTCGTTTCGAGAGGCCATCCCGCTGCCAAAGTAAAGCGGAAGCTTTGTTTAATACTGGGCTGTCACTGTTTCGCCGTTTTTCAACTGCCTCTATTTATCTTTTCCTGTCGACTTAGAAGGTGTTGAAGTGACAATTCGATACACACAGTATCAAAAACGAAATATTCAACAGTCTACTACAACTGACCTGCTTGCATGGAATGATTCAATAATAATGAGCATAGTGTAACTTTTGCATATATACGCCAAACAGTAAGTTAAAATGGCATAAAAGTTTAATTCAAAAATTTTCTTACCTAACCAACTTCACTTCAAACTTGTAGCACCTGTTGAACTCCATGAAAAATCGCATGGCCCACAGGTAATAGGATTCGTCATGGGCCTGTGCTTTCGCCCTAACCAAATTGTCTTTCACGTGATACATCAAAGTGTTGTAAGCGCCATTTAGAAATTCGACACAGAATTCCTTCAGGAAAAGCCGAACGCTGAAAGCGGATCTCCGTTCGTTCCTAGCCGCCTTCACCTGGAAAATATACATTTTTGATATGAAACACGAGACAAGCCTGACACGTAGAATGAAATATAACGGTGAATGAAAAATGATTTAAAAATTTGCTTGCTCCTTTAATAAATCAAAGAGGATGATATATTTTCTAGGATTAACAAATACTCTGCTGTATGTACGGGGTGTTTCCTCATAAGTTGACATTCCCTACATAATTTATTTCAAAAAGTGGTGTTAAGTGTTGACAAAAATTGATATTACTATAGTGGATATTGCGCTTTATTAAAAAACCCACCAGCAATTGAAAATTAATAAGCACCCATTATTTAGCAGCTGTGACCACTTTAATATATATTAATTAGGGTTGCTTTCGGTCATATTAATAATAGAGATAATATCCATTTACGATAAATGTTATTATTAAATTAGCGTAATCAGTTTCAATATACATATGTTTGAGTTATTCCACTTCAGATATTCCAGGGTTGTTCCTAATTTGATGTAAATCAAGAAGAGAGCCACAACGAACAAACCATAAAAATTACAAGCGAATAACTCAAGAATAAGTACTACAGGCAAATTTAAAAACAGAAAAGTCCCACAACCTGATGGCATACCCAATGAGCTCCTAAAATACGGAGAAGAAATAATAATTGAAAATATTGCTGTGCTTTTTCAGAAAATTTTAGATAGATAGATAGAAGCCAATCGAAAACAAGCATTGCAATACCAATAGGTATACAAAAAAACGAAATAAGAATAATCCTAACTTCCGTAGGACCACCTTGCTTAATACAACACTAAAATTGCTAACGATGATCGCCAATAAGATCACTAAAGAGTAGACCCAACAACAAGCAATTCATTCCGGCAAAATTGGTCAGCAATAGATGCAATCTTCATAGTCAGACAAATTGTTGAAAAAGCAATTAAATATAACAATCCTGCTTACATATGCTTCGTTGACTTGACTAAAGCCTTTGATCGCGTATTTAAATGATTGCGGATAGCTGGTCACAAATACGACTGCAGCAGTAGATAAAAGAGATCGGATTAGAATAGGCTCAAGGCCTAATATGTGAAGAAGAAGAAAATGTTTAAAAAAACTTCAACCTATCAAATCAGAGAAAACGTAATCAAAGTATGTAAACAAGTAATTTGTGTTGGCCCATGATTTGAAATAAGGCAATATTATTATTATTATTATTATTATTAATTATTTGATTGATTCTCTCTACTATTGAGTGTAAACTCAGCTCCAAAACATGTGATCATATCAGAGTTGTCGACACTTTATTTTGGCTGGTTATCTCGTAATTCCAGTAGTCTTTAGAACCATGGTTTTATTTTTTGGATCAAAGTTAGTTCTTAATCGAATAGTATTACCATATTCAACATACCACACTTAGCCAATTGATGAATCAAGTTGTCCGGCAGAAGGCCGTTTGGGCATTTTCTCACTTCAAAAAATGAATGTATAGCAGAATGAAAATATTGAAGAATTTACTATACAAAAAACTTTAAACTGAACCAATTTTAACACCTCGGTCTCGCATCAAATATTTTTTTACATCTAAATTGATATCGACTATCAAATTCCCATTAAAGCAAATAACTACTATTTCTTGGGGTCGGTGAAAACATTTTAGGTAAACCGTGAGTTTTTTATCAAACTTACCGGAAGGCGATTTTTCGGAGTTTTGGGTTTGGTTTTATCGACGTCGAAATTGAGAGAATCCAGTTTGCCTAACGGCTTGTGATAAATAAGCTCGTTCTCGCTTATTGATTTCATCGACTTCACTACGAACGTGCCGCCAAATCTCGAGTGTCTAGAAAATATTTTTATAATAAAATCACAATTTAGACACAAACTTTAATATAATATGAAGCAATTATCTACAAAACCACGAATGAATTACGCTGTATTTTCCATGCTTGTTTCGATTAAACCGGGTGTCAATTTGAAAACCTCCCATCCTTAATATATTTCTTGTAGTTAAAAATATAAAAAATCGGACATATACGTCAATTTTATTTGTAAGGTGGAGACTGTAAATGAATATTTTTAGCTTTCTTGTTTCAACCCCCTAGGATGGGGATGTTGCCCTTAGAATATTTAATAGGACTGGGGGGTCAAGTCGCACATCGTCAAGGACATTCAATTGTTCAAAATGTTGTCTATTTTCCTGTAAACAATAATAAAGTCTATTTTCAAACTCCTCTCTAACATTTCGGAAAACTTGACCGAGAATTGACCAGCATTCTGCTGCAATTCGCCATTTAAGATCATCAATATCAGCACAACCTGCTGATATTGATGCTTTTCAACACTGGATCCTGGATCAAGATGTCCCCAAAGAAATAAGTCTAAGGGTGTTAAATCCGGTGACCTTAGAGGCCATTCAATTGGTCTCCTTCTGGCCAATCCATCTATCCGAAAATCTCTCGTTTAACCATTGCCTTGCCGGAAGAAAATAATTATGTGGAGCACCGTCCTGCTGGAATGTTAACAAATCCTCCTGTAAAACTGAATGACATTCTGCATCAATTTGAGTGCCTAACTCATGCGTAGTAAGACGATTAATATATAATTAAGGTAGGTAAGTAGATCTCATGGGTTTTGTTGAAAAAAATTATCTTCCGCAAATAAAGTTATTTTTCTCGAAGTAAAACAATTAAAAAATCAGAAATCAGTTGTTTAAACTAGATTTTATTCCTGTTATTTAACGATTTTAACGTCGTAACCTAATATTCCAATTATTTGTAATATAAGGAGACCCAATGCCATAATGTTTGTTTAAACACTAACCTGAAAACCAGAATCTTGAAGCAGGCAATTTTAATTGTTTCTGCAACTCTGAAACGCGATTATTCGGAAAAGACCAAAAGCAACAAAGTAGTAACTAATTTAAAGAGAATTGAAGGCGTTTTAAAACCATGTGCCTCTTGACCCCCATTCCTATCTACGATTCTAAGGGTGACATCTACCCTTCCTAGGGGATTGAAAAAAAGTGTCCCCCTTGAAAATAAAATTGACGTGCTTTTCCGATTTTCCATATTTTTAACTGCAAGAAAGATATTAAGGATGGGAAGTTTTCAAATTGACATGTGTATGTAGTATGTAGTAGTAGTAGGTATGTGTTTAAAATGGGCAAAAATTTTAATTTGAAACCATCACCAAAGACTGCATTATAAACTTAGTACTAACACTGTACATATCTATGGCCTAACAGGTCACATATGGGGAGTTTCTAAGTTGAAACCCCCTTAGATCACTGATTTAAAAAAATTCTGAAAAGTGTAAATATTAAAGTTGTTATCATCATGATCAACTCAATTTTTGTAAATCTGCAGTTAAAATAAAAACTTGAAAGAGTCTTCAACTTATGAAGAAACACCCTGTAAGTGTCGAATAAAATTACTAGTTATTATAAATGAAAATGTATGGATCATATACAAGGTGATTCAAAATTGGCGTCATTTCTTTTAAAGGGTCACTTAAAAAATACAAGAAAAATATTTGAAAAAAAAATGTGGAAAATTTCTAGAAGATATTGACAGTGGAACATCGAAATGTAGGTTAAATATCTACAGTCCGTTAACAACAATTAATGAAATTATTTTTTTAAGCTAAACTTAGACACCCTGTATTTCCTTAACGGAGCATTTCCCGAACATCGTTTATAATGTAAACCCATAATGTTTTTAGATTCTCTATCGTTCCCAGGCTTTGGAAACTGGAGTACCCTGTATACTTTACTCCATCCGGTCACAAATTTATGTGCTGCGACGTCTATTAAAATTGAACGGTATGTTAAATTTTAAACAGCTAGCTTTGCATCGACTCCCTACGACAAATTCGGGAACGGTTGCATGATTCCTGTATAATTTCGTAATTTTGCATTGTAAATCGTTCCGACAAGAACTATAGAAACTTCGGTGATATTCCACAGAACGTGTACATTATCTTGGCATTCGCCACAATTGTGTGATATCATCCAAGTTATTAAAATTTAATTATTTACCTATAGACTGACAAAATTACTTCCACATAGTTTTGAATAAAATGTTTTAAAACCAAAACTTGCTTCGTCTCCAAAGTGTTACACGCTAGTCTCAGGGTAATGTAATCTCAATCGGGCGAACTGAGATCTGAAATTGAATATGAACTGAAAATATGCAGACAAGCCCACCAAAAATTCTCCTAACGCCCTCGAAGGAGGGGATGAAAGTGCGGTGTAATTTGTTGGCGTTCGTCAATAATACAAGTGCGCAAATGTTACAGATTTTTGGGCTGAGCGGAATAAAGTTGCAATTACTCATGAAAAGAAATCAAAAAGATATAAATTTGGCGATCTTGCAGGCCATGATACCTCATCTTTCAGTTTTTTAATGAAGTGGAGCTCAATCTTGCTGAAATAAATGATTTTACTACTTAAATGTCCTATTAAGAAAAATGGTCCGATAACACGATCACCCAATTCTGCGAATATAAGTTTGAATCTATTGATTAACAGCATTCGTCAGAGAAACAAACGTTAAAAAAGTGTCTGGAATTTTCTATCAATTTTTCACTCATAATGTCACAAATGTATACAGGGTGATTCGAATTTGCGTCGTTTCTCTGGAGGTGTTTGACAGTGTTTTAGGAGTACAGAAAAAATAGTAAAAAAAAAAAATTGTTATTCAAAACTGAGAAATTTGCAAAAAACTATATGCGAAAAACGGCAACAATGTTTTTCAAGGTAATCTGCCTAATTAACATTACGTAAATACCTGTTGGTGCGCAATTATTTAAAACTCCAGTAACTATGGAATTATACAGAAAGTGACAATAAGATAAACAAGGATAAACGGTAAATTGAACAGGAATCGTTGAATGATGGAACCTATTTCGAAACTCATAACCTCGAATTATTAATTTGTTAACAAATTACAAAACCATACATTTGAGTCTGTAACTCCAAACAAGTGCCTGTGTAATCACCTTATTATGCACTGTTCTCGAGCAGCTCCTCGTATTCGGTTAATTAACTCCTGCTCAATTTATACCGGTATTTCAGGAATCCATTGGTTTAATGTGATCTTCGATACGTGGTAGGAAGGTGACCGGTATTTATTTGGTAGCAGTTGTGTGCAGTGCAGTCTCAGTTGTCGTGCAATGTTCTGAATGCCCCTGAAAAGCTCTTCTGCAATTATGTCCAATACTTGTTCCTCTATTGTCGTCCACTATCTTCCTGGAACCACACACAATCCTCGTCCTTTGTAGGCGTGAGTTCTTTCAGCTTCTGCTATGTTACTGCAGCATTTCCTCTGAACTAATCGCATATCCGCAAATTCGTGAAAGCAAATTCAAAGTAGGTCACAGTTTGACAAATTATTGTTATTATTAACAAGGGCTACCCACCTGTAACTATCTGTTGATGACAAAAAACATCATCATCGCTTTGACTTCTCATCAAAACATTGTAGAAGAGAACTTTTTTAATATCAAAATTTTTTGCAATTTGAATCAAAGATCGTAATTCTTCTTTTTGAGTGCTTAAGTATTCCAATATGCTACCAACTAAACATGGAACACTTTCAAAATAATGCTTAATAACAAAGTTGAAATTCGATTTTCAACTGATAATTATCGAAAAAAAAATTCAATATTTTTTCCATCCCTTCCAAGTGAGCCCCTATTCTAGAAGGTATTAACAGTTGAAGATCGAATTTCAACTTTGTTATTAATCATTATTTTGAAATTGTTCCATGTTTAATTGGTAGCATATTGGAATACTTAAGCATTCAAAAAGAAAAATTACGATCTTTGCTTCAAATTACGAA